ATGATGCAATCGCACCTGTAGATGAGCATTCCGTAAGAATTGCTCCAGAGAGGATCCAGAATGTCTCTCTGGAAGGTGATGTTTTAACCATTTCTCTCCACAGGGACTATGTTGAATCTATAGATCTGGCAGGTCATGCTCAATTCCTTGCCAGAATTGAAAGGGTTAATAACAACTTATTCTTTCCTATTCAAATAAATGACTTAGGAAGAAGTAGGAATGCAAAGCTGGACTTACAGAGTGAGAACAGCTATATTAGCAGAAGTCTGTTAAAGCAGATAGCTAATCCTAAAATGATCAGGTATGCTTCCCCACATGACAGGTGGATCCAGAATCTGGATGGCGAATCAGAGAGTCACAATGTGATAGCAAAATGTTTACTATCTATTTCCATCGGAAATAAGACAGTCAAACATTTATTCCTAGTGATAGACGAACCTCGCTATCAGGTTTACGTTGGCAATGATGTCCTACATCGCTTTGCCATACACCTTGACCTGATTAATTCCAACTTGTGGACAAGGTTAAAAGGTAATCCTTGTGGATACCTTCACGAGGAAATCGCCCTGAAATCAGGACAAATACTCCCATATGCGGTAAGTATCCAAGTACCTGATGACATAACCATTCCACAAGGGACAAGTAACTTTCTTTTACCCCTACAGGTCAAGGAGGGTCAGAGATTAGAAAACTCTGATGCCCTAATCTGTTTATCCAACAGGATACAACAATTAGGGATGGTGGTAACACCTACACCAATGGTAAGTATTGGTAAGAATCCCACCTATATCATGGTCAACAATGTTACACCCAATAGTGTTACTTTACCAAAAGGAACATTATTAGGTCTAGCATTGGATGCTGAGTACTATACATTTGGTTTCCAAAACCAAATTATAGACCTCATCCCTGAAGAATACTTAACTGAGGACGAAATTGTCGATCAAATATTCCATTCCTCCCCAGAAGGATTATTCACTATCCTATCTGTATATCCCTTCAATGTTGAAGAAGGCTCGTGTAAAATCGAAGAAGCATCAATCACCTTCGATCATCCGCTCGATGAGCAGGAATCACAAGAGTATCTCGACCAAAGAGAAAAGGTAAGTCAACACCGAACTGACCTAACTTCTAGGCTTGAAGAAGCTTATGAGATAGGCCAGCCTGAAATCTTTCCAGGATTTCAGGAAAGGCTAGAAGAGCAAATATCTCTAGCTGACGGTTGCTCCAACGATGCTGAGCGGCAACAGCTAAAGGAAATCCTTTTGGAATTCCAAGATATTTTTGCCAAAGATTCCTACGACTGTGGGTTAACTAACCTCCACGTAGCCAGAATACAAACTGATCCAAATTTACCACCAGTATTTATCAAACAATATAGACTCCCATTAGCGTCATATGATGGTCTACAAGACATCATTCAGAATTTAAAGGAAAGGGGCATTATACGTCCAGTGCACAGTTCGTATAATAATCCGATCTTGGGGATTCTGAAACCTAATGGACAATGGCGTTTATGCGCTGACTTACGACAGCTAAATAAACGCGTCTATATGTCTGGTTGGCCAACGCCATACATAGACCAATGTTTGGTACAAATGCAGGGGATCCAAAATATTCACTGCCATTGACTGTGCGCAGGGATATTGGACTGTACCAGTCCATAATGAAGACCAATACAAATTGGCCTTCACATTTGGAAAGCAGCAGTATACCTGGACCCGTATGCCTTTCGGTTATATAAACTCTGGTCATGAATTCGCTGTGTTCATGCATAAAGCTATGCCTGACGCACTCGAGAGAGGAGCGTTATCATATGTCGACGATGTCTTGCTGAAAAGCACTTCCTTTGATAAGCATATCTTAGAGATTAGACATGTTCTCACTCAGTTAAGAGAGGCAGGGATTAAACTGTCTTTACAAAAGGCGCAATGGTGTCGCACCCATGTCAATTTCCTCGGACATGAGGTAACTTCTTAAGGATTAAATCCCCAGAGGAAGAAGGTTGAAGCTGTAATTAAGGCTAAAACACCTTCAAACATCAGGGAATTAAGATAGTTCCTTGGTATGACTAACTACTCCCGTAAGTTTATAGATAACTATGCAGAAATAACTAAACCACTCTTACACCTGCTTAAAAAGGAAACTACCTGGAACTGGGGGGAGCCTCAGGACCAAGCGGTAAGTGAACTGAGGAGGAAGCTCACTCAGGCACCCTGTTTAGCATACCCAGAGGGGGGTAAACCCTTCTATCTGGAGACAGGATATACCGATTTAAGCATAAGTGCTGTTCTGTATCAGAAGCAGGACAGTTTAAACAAGGTTATTGCATATGCTAGCAAGACTTTGTCACCTGTTGAAGTTAAATTCAACACGTGTGAGAAGGCGTTATTGTCGACTGTATGGGCACTACAAAATTTTCGTAGCTATATCCAAGGTGAGAAAATAATTGTAGAAACAGCTCACCAACCTCTACAGTATCTGCAGAGTGAAAGAATTAGAGACGGTAATCTCTCTAACAGTCGGATTACTGCATGGACTCTATCCTTACAGGGATGGCCGTTAGAAGTCCGTTATAAACATAATAAGAGAAGCCCAGTTGCCCAAGGTTTAGCAGAATTACATGACTGTACTGCTCCATCTCTGGATGATAATGACACCGGAGATGACTTCCTAGAAGAGCAATTGCTATCTCCTTATAAAGTTTATGACAAGGAATACTGTCGACCACTACCGTGGGTATACATTGATGGTTGTTCATATCACCACGTCGTTGGTGCTGAACGGAAGTTAGTTGCAGGTATCGGAATTGCCTGGACAGGTGATTATCCTAATGTATCTATAGGATACAATATTGGTCCCAAAAGCAGTCAGATAGCCGAACTCTGTGCAGTATATAAGACCATTCAAATGGCAATAGAATATGGTATCAAAGAATTTGTTATTATAACTGATTCCAACTATGTTCGCAACAGTTTCGTTGAATATCTGCCTAGCTGGAAACGTAACCAAATGCTGAAAAGCAATAACAAACCTGTTAAACATGGGAAATTGTTTTGTAAAATCGATGAACTGGTTAAGGAAAATGGTTTATCCATATATTGGAAGAAAACCAAAGGCCATTCTAAAATAGAAGGTATTGACAAGGATGGTAATGACTTAGCTGATTCACTGGCAAAACAAGCTGCCATCAATGGTGAAACCCTAAACATTGATGATCTTATGGGTTCAATTCATGTTGAAGCCATAACTAGACGACAGGCTAGAGATAATGCCGACTTAAATGTCGTGCAATGGAGTCAAGAAGCTCCTAGTGATGACCTGATTACTAGTCAAAAGAATGATCCCGTCATAGGCATATTCTATAAACATATAGAAGACCCTACTGCCAATCCCATCACAGATGAAGATTGCAAAGATAATGAAGATTTACGAATCTTGATGAGATATAAAGTCCAATTTAGTATCATGGATGGGTTACTGGTCAGAACTTCTAAACATGGTATACAACAATGGGTAGTCCCAACTGTATACAGAGGGTTAATGCTCCAACACGCACATGATGCACCTACATCTGGGCATCGTGGTGATAAGATCACATATGAGATATTGCGTGATTATGCATATTGGCCACACATGTTAAGGGATGTTAAGACATACTGTCAGGGATGCTTGATTTGTCCGCAATGGTCCAACCCATCGTGCACCACTTCAGAAGAGGGGGGTGTCCCTGGTCTGATATTCAAATTGACTTTATAGGTCCTGTAACAAGATCTTCAAGAGGTAACAAATACATGTTAACCGTTACATGTATGTACACAAAGTGGATAGAATGTTTGCCTTGTAAAGAGAACACGAGTACCGTGTGCGCCACTTTGTTGATTAACCATGTCTTTTCCAGGTTCGGTCTGCCTCAGAGAATTGAGTCAGACAGAGGTAGTCATTTTACCAGCGAAGTAATGGCTAAGATGTGGAACATTCTAGGTGTTAAACGAAAGCTACATATTGCATACCGCGCTGCGTCTAGCGGGGGGTAGAGCGATATAACCAGTCTATCGTTAATATTCTGAAGAAATATGTTAAGGAGTCTGGTAAAGACTGGGACATTAAATTGCCCCTAGTTTTAATGGCGATTAGAGCTACACCTAGCACTGCTACCAAATTGTCACCTTTTGAATTGATGACAGGAAGAAAGATGGTTTTACCACAGCATTTACTATATCGTACTTCAGATCATAACTTGATCAATGCTGCCACTACGCATCAGTATATCGAAGATTTGCGCAAGCATTTACAGCATGCGTTTGCTTTCGCCCAAAAGAATCTAGAAAAAGCAGCGACAGGGGTTAAGACCTATTACGATCTAAAAACCACGAAAAAGGAATATGAAATCACAGATCAAGTCTATCTGTATAACTTTGGAGAAATCAAGTCAAGGAAAAGAAATTTTTACCTTCTTGGAAAGGGCCATATGTCATCATTGACAAAATTTCCCCTGTAGCGTATAAGATAAAAATTCCTAAGGATGGTGATTTTATTGAAAAGTGGGTTCACATTAACCAGTTGCGTGCTTGTCATCCTAAATCTCAATTAAGGATTATAGGTGTGGATTCAGACGCAGAAGGGTGAACGACTAACCTGGATGAATGTTTGATTCACGTGGTATAGTATGATGTGAAATGTTGTGATGTGCCATGATCTCATGTACGTTCATGTCATTAACCATTTCCTTGCCATCCAATAACTACATTTTATAAGCAGGTTACTAGCTTGTTTAACTGCTATAGGCAAATTGCTGAAGAGTCAGTAATAAATGTAGTGAGGGATGAAGTTATAAAAATAGAATTAGACAGAATACATATGTGATGAATCGTAAAAATGTGTTGTCCTAGACCAAGTGATGTCACACTGTTATAAGTTTGTATGCTTAACAAACCTTGAATCATTAGTAGATAAGTCTGAAACGAGTTCCTGATCCGTGACTGTCGAAAATGTCCAAGAAGGATGTGGCGTGTTTCTGGATCGTACTGCTCCTGTGCCAAGAGCTACGGACCGACCCGATCGCAGAGATGGGACCATCCTCCGCATCCTGATTCAAGAGACACCAGGGTTCATCTTAACAGAGAAGAGGATCCTGACCCGACGTGTGTTCGTCAGCTTGGACCCCAAGATTTCCATCGAGAAGGCATACAACATTTCATCGATGCAGCTTCCTGAGTTACAGACTTGGTACCAGATGCACCTCCAAAGAGCACAGGACCGTGTGCGAAACATCTTGGAGCAAGCCCGGAAACCATTTGTATCCAGTTCTATTCCGATGAGCAACCGACCCAAAAGGTTCCTCACCGCTATAATTGTTGCATTAGTTTGTGCCACTGTCGGTGCAGTTGTCGCAACTGGAATGTCTGCAGCCAACTCTATTACTGTCCAAAAGCTGGATATGGAAATCTATGCGCTAAAGCAACACATTAACGATATTCATCAGGTGATACAACAGCAAAGAACACTTCTCCAAGACGTGTTAACTATTGTGGAAGACACAGTTGTTACAACAAATTTGCATTCGGAGTTAATTGCCAAATCCACTGAGTTGCACCAAAGTCATGACTTATTCAAGCGTGAACTTTTATTTCTGCATGACCCAATATTGTTCCACACACTTGCTTTTCTTGACGAAGTGCAAACTGGAATGATCGAATTGGCAGGGGGACGCATACCTCTGTATTTTGTATCCAAGGATATTGTTCATGCGATGCTTGCCAATGTGGATGGAGAGACAATTGAGCCTATGCAATTAAATCTGGCCTTCGAGATGGGGAGCGCTATACCTCTCTTAATTAATCCGGAACGTATGGAGATTTGCTTTTTATTGACCATACCATATGTAACTCCCAAAGACATTTTTCAAATGAAAACAATGTACTATGTAATAATGATATTATGGTTGATTGTACTAAGCGTAAAGTTCAAAACTTTTACAGGTACAAATATATACAAAAATGTTCATTCCACGCATGTACTATGTTAGAAATGATGTGATTGCACAATATGTCTGATAACTTCTATAGTGCTTATTCATAAGCTAAATTAATTTTGGCTATGAAATGCACTAAAGGGGGGTTATGTCAGAGTATTTATATCGGCAGACATTTTGTGCTATGATAGAAACTAAAAGTGTATATTCTGAGTCACTCTGAACAGACCAGACTCCATTTTGTTATTCCAAGTTAACAAAGACAAAGAGACACTATATTTCTATCTGTAAGCTAACCACTTTCCCAGATCTGAGGAATGCATAGTATATACAAACAAGTGATAAGGAAGGGGGTTGGATAGACTGTCTAAAATGCTAATGGAATATAATCAAATCTAAACCCAGACAATTGTGACAGAGAAGATTAAATAATTTAATATTTAACTGTCTATATATATAAGGTACCATTGTATGGAAAAGGGTAAACTTAGTTCATGATCTGTCATATCAGAAATTATGGCAGGAATTGCAGACGCTAAGTCTGGACAAAATTTAAGAAACCCTTTGAAATTTTAAATTATGGCGCTATAAAGATAACGCAAAATGACGTCAAAATAGCCACCAGGAAAAGTTAACTCTTTCCTGGATAGGTATGTTTAGTGGGACAAGACTGCCCTCTACAGACCAAATAACTAATTTGCGATCTGGAAGATAACCACACCTCTAGTGCTTCTATTGGGTTATCAACTGATGACGTACAGAGAGTCTGGCCCTTTAAAAGTTAAGACAAAGGGAAGATAGCAGACAAGACGAGAGGAGGCAGATGCAAGAGATGCAAAGGAGAGAAAAGAGAGGAATTGGAAGTTTGGGGACTCCAACCTCCATGCAGAGACACATCCAAATAAATTCCTGAGACTACCAATCGGATGAAATATCTACTCAACTGGTAATTATACTGGTTTCATTTAATTAAATTAAATTAATTAAAATGTATTAATAGCATTATATATGACTGGATAAAGCACGGTCAGATTTCCATATTAAGAAATCTTAGTTAACTAAGAATATATAGTTATAACCATTCCATTCTGCAGGTGGAATTAAGAATAATTATATATTGATGTGATATTATCACGTGTTAGCATACCGCTGTTTTTATCCAGGTGTATTGATTTGCTCTAAATTAAGATAGATATCTTTTAGACAAATTAAAAATCTGCTTATATAATGTGGTAAATTCTCTTATGGATGGTTTAAGAAAATGAATTTAAACTGGCTTAAATGTTATTTTATTTAAAATTTACATAAGAATAGATCTTAACTACCTAGGAGATCTAGCCAGCATTGAAAGGGTTATTCTAACTGTCTGCTAAACTTTACGACCTTACGCTGCACTCTGAGGAATTCTGTTCTTAGCCGTGAAAAGTCTGTGTTAAAGATAGTCATAAATCGTCAGAATTCTTGACAGATAATGCCGTTTAGCCATTGAAACGTAATCCCCACAGGACAATGCTCCATCACACGCGTCCAAGTACTCCACAGCGTGGCTGGCAAGAAAGGGTATAAAAGAAGAAAATCTAGTGACATGGCCTCCTTGTTCACCTGATCTGAACCCCATTGAGAACCTGTGGTCCATCATCAAATGTGAGATTTACAAGGAGGGAAAACAGTACACCTCTCTGAACAGTGTCTGGGAGGCTGTGGTTGCTGCTGCATGCAATGTTGATGGTGAACAGATCAAAACACTGACAGAATCCATGGATGGCAGGCTTTTGAGTGTCCTTGCAAAGAAAGGTGGCTATATTGGTCACTGATTTGTTTTTGTTTTGTTTTTGAATGTCAGAAATGTATATTTGTGAATGTTGAGATGTTATATTGGTTTCACTGGTAATAATAAATAATTGAAATGGGTATATATTTGTTTTTTGTTAATTTGCCTAATAATTATGCACAGTAATAGTCACCTGCACACACAGATATCCCCCTAACATAGCTATAACTAAAAACAAACTAAAAACTATTTCCAAAAATATTCAGCTTTGATATTAATGAGTTTTTTGGGTTCATTGAGAACATGGTTGTTGTTCAATAATAAAATTAATCCTCAAAAATACAACTTGCCTAATAATTCTGCACTCCCTGTACATTTGTATTCCTCTGGAAGGGTACACTTCGACTTGGTGCTTTTATACACTCAGTTGTTGGTGTTGTTGTGATTGTCTTTACATTTTATATATACTTATTATTAATTGCATATTTTCTTTTTTTTTATTTGTGCTATGGTTTGCGACACTCTGGACTCTAGAGTGTTGATAGTCTCCCTGTGACTTCAAGAGCAAAGAAAATTAAGTTTGGAATGCATATCCATTCTACTCTGATTCTGGAAGAGTGGAATGTTGGAGGTGGAACGCTTGTACGTCCCACAAAGCTGCATAGTTGCATGACTCACCCAAGCAGGAAGAAGATGAACTACACAGCGACACGAATGGAACACATATGCATTCCACAAAGCATGTCCAATCAGATGGAGGGACTTCTTTGGTGCAAAAACCGATTGAGAGGGTTTGACACTGAATTGGTAAAGCTGATTAGAAGAAACCTGGATTGGCTGACGCAATCAAGAGGTGAACTCTAGCACATTTAAAAGGATCTCCTTTCATGTAAGATATTATGCTGACATTGCTGTGGACATATCAATCTTCAATAACCCTGAGGAAGTCTTGTATGAGACAAAATTCATAGGGTTTGTCATATGTGCCTCACAGACTGATATTATTTGTTATTTTATCTTGTTGCCATTTCTCTGCATTTTAATCTGAAGTTGAGGAAGATCATGTGTATATAGCACCTGCACTTTACTATTGATCCAGTTACCTCAGAGAGTTTGTTGATGGACTTTTTACTGTTATCCAATATGTAAGTGTGTACAATAAAGCATTTTTTTCATTATTCGACAGTGTTGTACTATATTTTTCCATTGCTTTTTCTTACATGTGTTTCTGAGAAAATTGAGAGTTTCTACCGCTGAAACCATCATCAGTTTGTGATGAGCCTGCATTTTACCATACACTTGTGAGTTTCCCCTTGAATTTCACTTATCAAGTGTATTTTACATGCTGTCCTATTTGGTTCTTGTCATTTTATATTTTGAAGATAGATCTTTTTTTATATCTTGTATTTGAGAAGTTTTGAGGTATCCCTTTGTTTCTACAATATTTTAATTGGGTAATTATGTTTATGTATTATAAGAGTGAGCATACTATTTGGCTATATATTTTGAGATTAAGTATTAAAATTGAAAATTACTTTCATCCCCACCTCTTCTATCTTTATTACTGAGTGTAATTCTGAAAATGGCCAGTAGATGGTGGCAACATACCACCATCTGCTGTGTTAAATACAGTAAAACCTATTTCTAATTTCAGAATTGTTAATAGGAGTGGGTTACCTTAGGGTTAGTGATGGGTTAAAGGTGGGTTTATGGTAGGGTTAGATTTAGGGGGTTATAGTTGTGTAGGTTACACTTAGTGTTGTGGTAAGGTTAGAGTTAGCTTTAACATAAGTGTAGGGTTAAGATAAGATTAATGCTGTGTGTTGGCTAATGTTGTTTTAGTGTTAAAGATGTGTAGGGTTGAAGTCAAGGGTAAGATTAGGGTAGGTATACAGTTAGAGCTAGTGTAAGCATTGGGTAAGGGTTGTTATAGCATTATAGTGGGGGCTGATATAGTGTTAGCATTAACAATCAAAAAATAATTTAGATCCTAAACATATTAGGTATTTAACAAGCAGGACTGATATATAAATCTATTTTAATTATTTTTAATTACTTGCACTTGATGTGTAAAAATTAGAAGCAAAAATATTAAAACAATAAATATTTATAATATTTAATATATATTATATATATTTTTTATTATTATTGTTTTTTTTTTTTAATGTTTCCAATTTAAAAAATATTTTTTTGAGGGAACTTGATGAGAAACCCTTAAATTATGATGAAACAAATGTATATCTCAAATTCAGAACATGGCCAATTTTCTCTATCCTTAACCACTTAATGATGGCGGACATTCTATGCCGTCCTTAAGGGGACGGTTCTAAATGCTGCATGGCATAGCACGTCCCCGCTGTCCGTACTAATGTGTCCCTATGGTGGACGCAATGAAATTATGAGGGAAAAATGAGTTTTTTTGTTGAGCTCATTTGCATATGCCTACCCAGAATCCCTTGCACTAGTGAGAGCACTGTTAAAGTGAGGTTTCTGTGATGTGGGAAAAGCAAATCTCATGGCTTGACTGGTGTGTGTATTTGTGTGTAGCAATGAATTAAGAAAAAAAATTAAATATAAAACAAAATTATATACATGGGTAATTTCATTATAACTGTATTTTGATATTAATATATATTAATATCAAAATGTGTTTTAGAATGACATTTTAAATATATATGTATATCTATATATATTACTAACAAAACACAAGACAAGATCCAGCACACTCACTCATCCACTAAACAGCAACTTAACATAAGTTTACAGGTTTTAATAGTTTTGTTATACCTAGATTAGGGTTAAGTTACAGTATATGATAATACATTGCATAAGGCTGCCACAACGTCAATGTACCCGATTTTTGGCAGGCTCTACTCTAACAACCTAATGTCTGCTCTTTTGAGATATTTGGGAGTCTAGGCCACTTACTTCACATTTTGCACACTTCCTTGTCACAGATGCCTCATTCCAGGACCTTATTTAACCTTGTATTTGTCACATCATGCCATGTTCTGCGGAGATGTCTGGCTTTGGTTTCTGGTATCCAGTACTCTTTTGACAATTCTTGTTTAGTTTTTCTTGTTTTTTTGGTTTTCTATTCTATG